AGATAACGGCTGTGGGTTCGCGCCCGCGCTCTGAGGTGATCAGATACGACGGAGATGACTGGATACCGCGGCCAGATGGACTCGGTACCATCACGTGCCAAAAAACAAGAAAAGAAAAAGGTCGGACCACAGTAGCCCTTTGTGAGCAGGCGGAGAAAGGCAAAACCCAAATGTGCAAAAACAAAATCGTAACTGGAGCTTTAAATAGTTTGAAAAGGAGAAAGGTATTACGTTCCCACTACTGACCTGTAGGGGGCAGCAATGTACCTAAACTGCTGCAAATATCAGTGGAAGAAGAGCAGAAACCACAGAACTACCAGAACAGCTGAAGGATAAACAAAGTTAAACTATCATGGACAAAAATGTAAATGTTTGGCAGTGTTTTTCAAACCTGTTTAACAGAAAGAGTCCAACAATAAAGAAAATATGTTTTAATTTAAATAAATGGATATGACAGCCGGCTGCTTCAAACAGGATTATTACTATTCATGGTCTGTGGAAACTTTTCAACATTTTTATCATTATTTATCTCCAGTAAACTAACAAGTTAGTCATAAGCATGGTGAGGACTGGCTAATTCACTGGTAATGGAATAATAATGGAAGTGGATATGAAATACAAGTTCAATAAAATATTCTCAATTATTCCTATTTTTGTTTTTCTAATAAATTTAAAACAAATATGAAGTACAAAAGAATGATTTATTAGACATGCTGGAGGGGTTAACTTTCATATCAGAGAATATCTACCAATCAACAAATCAAGCTTCTGCGTTCACAGAGTCGATGCGATCGTAATGAGCCAGACACAGAGCTTCTGTAGCGCCTCAGCATTGGTTTCTGCTAAATACCGGGTTGGTTTAGCATCTCTATAGTTAGCGGGGCCGCCTCCTCATACATGTAGCCCTGCAGAGAGACCAAACCTCCTACTGGCCAGTAGCTCAGACCCAGGTCAACTACCAGCCATTTATAATATTTTAAAAGGAAATCAACCTAAATGTGCAAAAACAAACAACCTAGTGGAGCTTTAAACACGGCGATAATCTATCAGCTGCAGCAAATCCCAAACCACTAGAGAGCTCCTCCTCTCAGGATCCCTACTGTCCGTGCTGGCCCTGAACTCTCCCCCCTGAACCGCCACAATAGGATCCGGTCCCAGCGGAGGAGACGTCTAAGAAAAGACAACTGTGACGAAGAGAGGCGGGGGGGGAGGAAGACCAGGTGGAGGAGGGATGAAGGCAAAGAAAGGAGAGAAACCCGGGAAGGAAAGGAGTGAGGCAGTCAGGTAAAGTGAGCCGAGGGGTGTGTAGAGTGAGCAGGGGGGTTTTGGGGGTATTTGGGTCGTTTTCACATGGAGTCTGGCCACACTCCAGAACTGAGCGGGGAGGGGGGGCTCCTAATGGCTAAGCCTTTCACTGTAGGCCACACTGCAGTGAGCCGTAATTGAAGGTAATTGTTGGGAAGAGCCGACACACACAGCTTCCCCACTGTTCCCCGGGCTGAGATGGACAAGCCTGGGCTGACAGGGTGGGAGCGGGGGGCGCTGGGGGTGAGGGCCGTGGGGAGGCCAGGTGAAGACAGAGAGGAGGGGAGGCAGAAAGAGCAGGACCGCAGAGACAGATTGCGTTACTCCACCTCCATCGTCCCCAACTGTCCTACACGGCATTTGTCTGCTCGCACAATTGCGTAATTGTGTCCCTGCTAAATGGTCCGAAGGGCCGCTGCAGCGTCCTGGATGCAGGTGGGCCGGCTCGGATGACCGGCGTGGACTGAAAGAAGACAGAAAGGACAAACGGACGGAGCTCACACTGGGACGCCAACTCTGACCCTTCCTGAAAACGCGGTTTGGACCAGTTTGTGTCTGATGAAGCCTGAAGGCTCTGAAGTTGATCCATTTCCCTGCAGGACCAGAGAATGCATTTCGCTCTTTGTCACCGGCATACACCGGCGTTTTCCAAATAGATTCCATGAGGTGCTGCAGAGATGATGTTCATGTGTGTGACTCTGAAGTGTGTGTGTAGGCAGGAGATGGAGGAAATCACCTTCCCCACTTTGCCTAGCCTCCTCGGTTGGATGGGTTTAGCTCCATGAGCGCAGTGGAGCAGGAAATCCAGATTCGCAGCCTATCAGCGAAATAGCACATATATGACTCCCCGGCCTAAGTCGGTCTAATCAGGCCTGCCAAGCCCGCTAACTCCAGCACCATCATCGCCGGGCGCCAGATTGACTCCTGAGCCCAAATCGCTGCTGCTGCTGCTGCTTTACGCCATAAAATGATTCCTGTATTGGTTTCCCCCCCTTAAACCTGGTGAAGCTAATGCAATGTAATGTAAAAATTAGACGCATACAGCTACTGTGCTGCATGTCAGCAAGTGCAGATTTGACCGGACGAATGAGGAGGGAGGGAGGAAAGCCCGACCGGACCGGCTCAGGAAAATAAATCAACCCAATTACCGGGCCCAGCTACTGTTCTCCAACTGCTCCCAAATAAGGCTGATGATTGTAGAAATGTTGTAATTTGCAGGAGCTGATAGCAACAGAAGAGAGAAGTGTTTGAATTAGAAAAATGACAGACAGGATCCGCGTTCCCTCCTATCAGCGGGGCGCTTCTTCTGCTAAATAACGTAACCTTTTTGCCTTAATTACTCGCTATCTCTGATCCGAGGTCCTGCTTGGCTTTCGGCATCAGCGGGGGTCGGCGGTGCGCGCTCGCATCACGACCAGCTTTGATAATTAACCGGGCCAAAATGAACTTTTATTCTCTCCTTTCAAATGCCAGATCTGGCCCCATAATTACTGCTGTGTAATTAAAAGTCCCAATCTTGCTTTTTTTCCTTGCATTGCAGAGTCTCAATGAAAGAACAGGAGAAATTAGACCTTAATCCTTGCACACTGTCAACCCCCAACACACACGCTGGCGTTGGGGTTGGCATGCACTCCGATTCCTGCTACCAACTCCGAACAGACAAACCCATCCTGACTGCAAAGATTCCTCTTTATCCTCCTCACCTCGCGCTGCTGAAATGTAAAATATAATATGGACCATTATGTTCTTTAAAAACTCATTACAGCGTTTGAAACGGGAATCTGTTGAGACGTTGCTTCCTCCACATTGTGCAGAGATGGGGGTGAAGACACATCGAGGGACGTGGCATGCAATTAGGAGCCCAATGGATTAATTTCCTTTTCAAAGTTATTGAGACACAATGAAGGGAGAGGCTTTCTGCCCCCCCCTCCACTCGTCATCTGTATTGATGGCTCCCCCTGTAAGCCCCTCCGCCTGCCCTCTCCTGGTTAATGACAGTTTGTATTTCACACTACAGAAGGCGAGGAAAACCCTTCGGCCTCTCCCTGTGAAGAGTGAAGAGCTCGGCCGAGGAGGAGAAAAGAGGTGACAGAGCCGTCTGACTCCGTCGCGGTGCGGAGAGGAATTAGCTCCAAGACAAACATGTCAGGGAAACTAAAAGGCATTAACTCGTCTGCATGTTGTAACGGCCCATTCTTCTCTGAAAGTAAGAGAATCCAAAAGTTTGGAGCGAGGCAGAAATTTCACGGGGTTTGGTTTTTCTGAGGCCTTGGGTGGAGAAGCTGAGGTTTCATCCAGCCAGTCTGCAGAAGAAATCTATCAACCCTTTACAACCACGTCAGCCAATCAGGTTGAGGCGCAATGATGGACATGGTCAGTGAGGGACGGGAGTGTTGTGACTGTTTTCCCAAGCCGTTTTTGCCAGAATAGCCAAGACGTCCAGTGATTCCAGTCCAGCTAACTTGTCGGTGGACGTAGCTCACCAAGCCAGGGTTCACAGACGGAAAGATTTACCAAGGTTTGAAACAGCTAGCTTAGAAACCGACCCATACCGTCTCCCTCCTGATGCGTTTGGCATCTTTTCCTGAATTCATCCCTAACGATCTATTCCTCTTACACCAGAGCAGACTGAAACCGTGCTAAAGTCTGGATGCTAACCAGTTGTTTGGACAAACAACTGGTTAGCATCCTCTGTTTCCTCCTTAAACAGAGGAAACACAGATGTTTCCTCTGTTTAATTGCTGCATGACAGTGGCATGCTCTTTGTGGCTGCTCATATGAATCATGTACCTTCTCCATAATGCAACAGCTGACTGCATCTTACGAATATGAATGCTCATCTTCTTACCTTGTAATGGATCACAGGTGCAAAATATTTTCTCTAAGATGGATTATGATTGTAAAACAGTAAAATTTAAACTGAATTTATGTTTTTGGCCTCGTTTTTCCTGCTGGTTCAATCAGCTTTTCACAAAGAAACGATGCTGATACTGTTGGAAAGAGTTGGGCTTTGATTTGAACCGGGCGTCTTCAATGACCATTTAATTTAGCTGCTCAGTGTTAGAACTGGTTACTGTTAAGGTAGAAAATAATGTCCGTCACTTGGATGAGCCTCTAATTGTTCCATGGAGATGCAGTATGCTGATGTATAAACTGTGTTTGTACTGATTTTATTGGAGGAAGTGCTGCTGATCTCAGGTTATCCTGGTTAAAGCTTGGATAACAAAGACAGAATCAAGAAAACTTGTTTTAATCATCTTACTAGAGAAGTGAATTCCTTATTCTGATATAGAAAAAGACACAAAATCAAAAAGTCAAACAGTAAATTGATACTTTAAACCAGTTCAGACCATTAATCACATTCCCTGCTGCTAGGGGGCGCCTCAGGCCTAATGGCTCAAATAAAATAATACTAAGAAAATCACTGTGTGTTTGATATAGGCTGGAAGGAAACTGTTGAGATAAATCAACAGAAGCAGTAAATCAACTGAGACCATGGAGAGTGGATGGAAACCTCTGCATCAAGGTTTTTCTTAACGCATCACAAAGTTCAGAGGAAGTGAAACTTCCTGAACAACTCGGCTCTGCGGGGGCCATAAAAACCAGAAAAATCACTTTGCATAGTCCCTAAAACCCAGAGCTTATGATTAGACACCAAGCATACATTAAATTAAACCATTCCCCTCTTTCTAGAAGAAAAGGTTAAAAAACGTCTTAATCGTTCCAGGTATGAGCAACGGCATTTTAATCAGCCTGGTTTTCAGCCGATCCTGCAGACCGCTAATCCAGACGCAGCTCTGCTCTCGTCTGCTGCACCTGAAAACCCTTCTGATCCCGGCTGGATTCTGACGACTGCAAGCAACGGCATCAGGATCAAATCACAAAGGAGAATCGGGAAATCCCGAGGCCGTTGCTCTGACTGCGTCTGAGCCCAGCCAGCAGGCGCATCGTTCTGTCGTCCAGCAGCAGCCAATGATCACAGACGCAGGGCTGTTTGTGCTTCCTGAAGCATTAAACACATCCAGTCCATCCCTTAGACTCTCACATACGGACAAAAATAAACATTTGATTATTTTATTAATATATATTTTGCAATTCCAGTATTACATTAATATTTGCAGTGAATGCCGCTGCAGAAATCCACAGCAGAGGAGGAGAAAGGAAACATGGTGTAAGGATTCAGTTTTTCTCTAAAACATCTGATTCCAGAAAAACTAAAACTAGAAGCAATAAATTCAAACATCAGGAAGTAACTGCATCAAGCAGCTGGAGCTGAAATAGGTGCCATTATTAACAGATCAAATATTCTGATCATTTATGCGACTTATCTTTAGAAACAGACTGAAAATAAGCTAAATGCCTCATGTAGTGAATTATTTAATTGCTGCATGTGAGGTGATGAAAGATCAGAGTAAACTCAGCAGGATCGTCGTCAGGCTCAGCTGATGTTCTGGACGCCATGAAGCAACTTAAAGTCGCTCCCATTTGCTGCCATCAAGCAAACTGGACTGAGAAAAGCTCCAGTTTCATCTGCAGCATCAGATTAAAAAATGACAAACCACTAAAATATCCAAATTCTTATACATGGCTGAAGTGACTGCAGAATCCCAGCAGATGTGAAACTGAAAGGTCTCCAGCCTGTCCCTGCGGTGCTCCATCACTGCTGCCGCCCTTCAGCGCAGCAGAGAGAACTAATCACTCACTCTGTATCCTAACCAAAACAAGACGGTGCCAACCAGTAGCTTTTAGTGCTGTTTACACTCCTCACCCCTCCTGCTCTGCGCTCCTCGCGGCTCGTGGCGGCATGGGTGATTAATTTGGGCTGTGCAGACAGGTAAACACAGGCCTATTTACATGGCTTACCAGCCACCGTATTTATACTCAACAGGACTAAGCTTCAGACAGAATATCCTCAAAGCTCCATCTGTTTATTTTCTCTCGCCGCTCCGTCCTGACACCATCTTCCACTTCTTGCTCTGAGCCCGACGCTCCTTCCTCCTCCTCTTCCTCTGACCTGCAGCTCTGTCAGGTCAGACTCGCACTGCTTCAATCCCAGTTTGACGATTTCACATCAACATCACAAAGTGTTCATAAACCTTAAACTTTTAATAATCTGCGATGTTCCAACCACAAACTTAAACGTATTTCTTGGGAAAGCTGTAAATAATTGTGAAGCAGAAAGAAAAATGTATGATTTGAAAATGTATCTTATGGAAAATCTGAAAAGTGTGGAATGCATTTGTTAGAAGTGCAGAAGAAACAGATTCTACAGAGAATCACAATTTCTATTCAGGGAATTCAAAATGCTCAATAATAGATTTTAAGACGCGTTGTCGCTCTGATTTATGAGCAAACTGCATGTCGCATCCGCCGTTTGTATGATGAATAATTATTTTTTCAGAAAAGTCCAAATAGCTAAGCTATCCTGTTTAAGTTACAGAATTTTATGCGCAAACATGTTTTTGTCAGTCACATAATTTAAACAAAATCTCCAGACTGAGTAGTAAAATTGCTTCTGCATCAAATCATGACTAAAAATCAATCAAACTGCTACAAACTGAAGGATTTCCATCTCCAGTACTTCAGAGGCTTGTGTCTGTTTGTCTCCAGCTCAGGTTGGATAAACATCAGAGTTCAGGAGATTCTCAGTTTGTTCTTCGGTTACTGATGTTAAACTGTGAAGGTTCACATCTCTGCCAAAGTCTTGACATGCATTTTAATAACCTGGCAAAGAACAACAACAATCTGACAGAACAACAAGATCCTCGAATTCTTTCACTTTGCGAGTAGCGGAGAGGACAGTTAGTGAACACATGAACCCAGACCAGTTCATCCAGTTATAACCCTTCCTCTGACAACATGAAAAAACATAAAACACCGCCGAGACGCCCTGCTGTTCCCGTCTTATTTTTACATCTTAAAAACAGTAAAACGAGGCAGAACTGGCTGGAAACATCGATCTAACCAACATGCTGATGTGTTTGTGTTAAAACTGAGTCATTTCTGTTCTCAGATCAACATCTAAACTAGAACTTCACTTCATTTTCAGAAAATAAACGTTCGTTCTCCAGTGAGGATAGATATTGTATTAGATTTAATACAGCAAACTGCTATAAACATGAGTATTTTTACTGTTATTATTATGAATCCAGTTCAGAGTTTAAGCCTCACCTCGTTGGAAATAAATGATTTTTGTGTGTTTTGGAAAAATTTATTTACTTAGAGGCAGTACCAACATAAATCACTGAAGCATGTCTCCGTTTTATGTGAGTAATGGTTTTGAACGATGCTGTTGCTGTTCTACATGCAGAGACGCTCTGGGTTTTAGAGGTTGTATTTGAGCAGCAGCGTTCCTGCAGAGCACCGAAGCGTTCACCTCGCTCTGCTCCGGCGTGAATGCTGTCGCTCTTCTCAAAATGCATCTGAAGTTCAAACCCTGTTAGCTTTAAGACCCATAAACCAATCAGATTAATGCTAACAGCCTAGTAGCCACCTACAGCTAACAGTTTCCACCTGAATGCTGCTTCTATAAATCCTGTTCACAGTTTAAGCCCATAATTGCTTCCACTTACCCAACAACCTGCTAATGTTACGTTTACACCAAGAAGCAACAATCAGTTCAGGGTGTGGATTGGCAAACTTACAAAAATGCAAACCACAAAATAATCTGACAATCTGGTTAGAAACAGTTTCTGTTATCTTTGATCAATAATGTTAACTTTTGCTCAGGTAGATCATTATCTACAGGTGTAGTTGTCACAGTGAGAACAGAGGCAGCCAATCAGGCTCCACGTTTCCATAGAAACATGAAAAGTGAAAACTAATCAAAGAAAAGAATCAGTGTGTTTATCAGCAGAGCAGCTTGGACAAGCGGCAGCCTGGGAGTGGAGCGCCGAGCTGCTGCCGGTCATGCCTCACATTCCTGAGCTGTAAGCAGGTGACCCAACCCTACCTGCCACAGCAACTGTCACCTGACTCCTCACAGCAGCAGGGAATGTCACCGTGCAGGAGACAAAGACATGCAGGTTCAGCTGCTACGTTCATGAAGCAAAACAAAAAAAATCATCGGAAACGGAAAAACTGGATCAGCAGCAGAACAACGATCCCAAACAGATAAACGACAACAGTCAGCACCACAACGGCCTAGTCAAAGGCCACTTCTCAACCTTCCTGGAATGCAGCAGAAAGTGGTTTTCAGATTTAATTCAGCACCAACACGTCTTCTGTGTGAAATTATTTTCAGAGGTTTGCAGTGTGGACTTTCCAGGGTTGAGCTGCTGGTTCTGGTTGTTTTCTGTTTTAATCTAGATTATAAACACACCATACTTTATAAACTACGAGCCACAGTCAAAAAATGCTTCAGGAAGAGAGAAATAAACAAGTCAGACCAAAGAATAAGTGGCAGAACCAGCAAAACTATGAGAAAAATGTGGCCTAAAGTCCAACAGAGGTATTAATGTGAAACAAAGCATCTCTTCACTTTCTCTGATGAAACGTAGCCCAACTGGTGAGAGCCCTAATTAGGGTCAATCCAGTCAGTAAAACCATCTGATTCGTCAGGATTTGACCTGCTGATCACCAGTTACAATCGTGATCTCTGGACTATTAATTAGTGCATCTCATTTTAATTTTAAACCTATTAAACTATTAATGAGCTTCACATGTTCACAGCACCGTTAAAACAGGTATTGGATATCGGTGCCGTCTTCAGTCTAAACATCCTCCTCCTGTGTTTCTTAAGTGGATTGTTTCTGATGAGCACAGAGGGGGAGAGGCCAGCAGAAAATCCTCTGATTCCAGCTCAGCTAAGTGGTTTTAAGGCCAGTGACATTAAACGCATACATGCGAGTGCTATCCTATTTCTAAAAATCATGCACATACAATGACTAATTTAATTACTGATCCACAGATTCCCCGTCTGCAATCCGTTCTTTAAAGATTTGCTCAATGCTGCAAACATATCACACAGATGTTTCCTCTGCCTGAGAATCCCATCATGCCTTTGGGCCGGGATAATTACTTATCAACACTGGAGTTCCCTTAAAGGGATGTCCAAGAGCACACAGGCTGCCTGTTTGTCTGGGGATTTTTATTTCAGCACCTCTTGGAGATGATTTGTCTATTATCTTCGGTGGATTTGCTCCCCTCTTCATCTGCAGCGTATTACTGCAATCATAAAGCTGCAAGGTCAGGGGAAAGGCAGGCGGGGGCGGGGGGGTGGGCTCGCCTACGGTGGAGCTCCAACCAGAGGAGCGTTTCAAACAGTAAGCCCTCATACAGGCAGAGAGAGAAAGAAACATGCTAAATATGACTTATTTCATGTTTTAAGTCACTTTGAGATTTTTTCCAGTTTGCTAAATAAGAACATTCTTCAAATTAAGAGGTTTACATCTCCATGTTGATCAGGACTGAACCTCCATGTTGATCAGGACTGAACCTCCATGTTGATCAGGACTGAACCAACTGAAAGGCCAGAAGAAGAAGGAGCCATTCCTCCACAGCCAACAGAAGCAAACTAAATTCATTTCTGTTGGAATCTCCTGTGGTTTAATGAGGCTTTGGGCCTCCAATACAGAGAGCGGCACCCTCACTGTGAAGCACGGCGGTGGCTCCATCATGTGAAGCTGTGGAAGGGATTGGTGAGCCTCACAGAACAGATGGCATCATGAGAGAAGAATATTATGTGGAAATATGAAAGCAGCATCTTCACAAAACGACACAAAAGGTTTAATGATCGTCAGAATGCGACCAGGTGGTTGAAATGATACAATCAGAGTTTTGGAGCTGATGTCAGTTTCATAACCCAGCAGCTCTGCTCACATGTAAATATGGAGAACTCTGGGCAACACAAACATCCAGGAATCATAATTACTTCTAAAAACGGAGAAAACGACGACTTATTGGTTCATCCAACACAAACAATCTGAGCAGAAAATATCATGTGAAAGCTGATATGAAATAAAGAAAACTCAAGAAAAACACAATTAAACATGTAGGACAAAATAAAAGAACAAAACTAAGCAGATTTAACCAGAACTACTGTCAGGATTCATATTTACTGACATTGGTCATAGTTGGATTCATTTGAGGTTTAAATGCATCTTTGAATAATGCTAGCATTCACATTGTTTATTTTCATTACTGCTTTGGTCATTTTATTACTTTCTGAAGCAACGAGTGTTTTCAGTGAGGAGCGGCCCGTCAGGTCAATCAGTGTTATGATGCTTATTATTCCCGGCTGAGTTAAGAGGAGGTGACAGAGTAAAGAACATGACGCGTTTAAAAAATCACCTAGCAAAGAAAACAGGTTCTTTCTGAAAGCTGATGACATTTAAAACCTTCTTTCACTGAAAATGGTCAAAAAGTCAACCAAGACAAAAAGTACCTCAGGGATCTCAGCTTGGTTTTTTAAGTTTAAACTCTTAAATTTCAGCTGTGATCTTTTAATATCTACGCGTTTTTTTATTGGTTCAGTCTAACAGTACAGAGTTATGTTGACGATTTAGTGCTACTATGAGTCAGTTTAACTGGGTTTTAACAGACCTACCACACCGCTGGATTCTTCAAGATGATTGGACGATCCTCCCTCTGGAGGACCAGCTGATGTCCTCCAGGTTGGATCCTCTGTTCCAGTCAGTTTCCAGGAATATTAAAATCCGGCCTGAATTAAGCAGAGTAATTATGTTTATGCCCATAAAAGGGTCAAAATAACTTAAAAACATACATTAAAATCAAATAATTAAGTAAATTTTGTCTCGCACTTTGAGGGCAACAAATAAAACAATAGGATACAACAATAGGAGTTTACAGTCATAGTTCAAATCGTTCTGATAATGAAAAATGTTTCTAAACTCCAAAAGAAATCAATGTTGTTAGATTCACTCCATCATTCTGGTGCCAGGAAGGCACGTTTCCCCAACAGTTATGTTTCCATTAATATGTCTTTAAATGAATTTCCTGGCTGGTATTTTTCACATGTTCCTGGTTAGTGCTGCCGGTCTGCGTTAGGGACGTTTTCTGCTGCATTTCAGCAAAACTAATGAAAAAAGTCATTAAAAACACTAAAATAACACAACAGCAATGGACAGAGTTACCAATAAATGATTTCTAAGGACAACATAAAAGGAGCTGTTGGGTTTTACAGTTAGCTTTAGCCGTTAGCATCTTTAATTATGCTAGTTAGCCGTTAGCTTAACGGAACCCTGCTGTCAACTCACAAAAACGTCGTCAGGAACTGAATAGGTCGCGTCTCCTACTCCATATGAAGCTCTTCAGTCAAATAAACTGACTTTACTTCCCCAAAATAAATATTTTACAACTCTAATATCTGTAACTCTTCAGCAGCAGCACATCCGCTCAGCTCAGTGTTTGTGGCTGGGGGCGGGGCTTATCCCGTCTCACCAATCAGGAGTCTGCATTTCTTGACGCAGCTAATAATAGTTTTCATTGACATATTTAGACGTCATTATTATTATCATTATTATTAATCGAAATTACTTTTACTGAGATACTTTCGAACCAACAGAAATTATATATAATCATAAAAAGGAACAAGAGTCAAAATAAAGCAGAGATCATTTTATTGATGGGTTACAGCCAGTAATAGATTAAAGATCAAGGTTTAAATATTATTTTAATCACTAATATTAGTATAAAATCAGCCAGACACTAGGTCTTTGTATAAGTTATACTTTTAGTGGACCTGCACGTCAGTAAAATAGACTTAACATCAGCAGTAAAGTGAATTGTTGTGCCTCTTGAAATCATTCCTGAACCATTTCTGCAAATGATTCTGCTGAAAGAGGCCTAGTCAAAGACCAGACCAGACTGAAATGTTGTGGTGGGACCTTGAGAGAGCCTTGCAGAAACAGATATCATATTGAATAGCAAGCTGCAGTTCTTCCACAATGATGTGACAGATTAATAATAGTGAACCAAAATGAAAACATGCATGCCTGGATTCAGTCTGAGACTTCTGCACAACGCTAAAGATTTACACACTCAGAGTCTTTGCAAATGTCTTAAGTCGATACAATCGACATCAGCTGCGTGGAGAAGCCCAGAAGTTTGTGACCAAACTCAACATCAGCAGCTAGGAGACACAATTTCACATCCAGCGTTATCAGCCGCTGTTTGATCGCCCCACACCGAGAACAATCTGTCGATTAGCCGCGGCTAAACCTGCAGCCCTGCCGCCTTTCTTCTCCCTGACCCGTGTGTAAAGAGATTAGCTATTCAAGGCAGGCAACAGAGTGACAATCACCACATCAGATCAATATTACTTATCTCGCTCCTCCTCCCTCTCTCCGCATTACACTCCTGGTACAGTAATACACCTGGAGGAAGCAGTGAGTGTGTGGTGATTAGATTAGCCTTTCACTGTACACAAGCATACACACACAGATAAGAAGGATGCTCCTGTGAATCTCTTCCAGCTGCAGAGTGAAGTGGAGGAAACCGACTGCAGGCCCTGAGTGTTGGAGTTTGTTCTCCCTGCAGAGCGATGCTGGGCTGAAGAGTCTCCCAATCATTTCATCCTGAAATAAAGCCGTGAAAACTGATGTTCAGATTTTCCTTCTGACTGAAATTTGGCATTACGAAGCTAAACTTGGATCTTATTGTGTAACGTCACACAGAAAGAACTGAAGAAAATACCAGGTAGAAACATTTGAATATTTTCAGAACTGCTAACTTTAGTGGGCTGAAAACTAAACTTTTTTCTTCATGTCGACATTCCAGGGATCCCATATGCAGAACCAGCTGCCTAGAAGACATTTTAATGTTGTTAATGTATAAACATCACAGCAGTCAAAAGCACTGAACCTCCTTCTTCACCAAATGGAAACCCAAATGGAGTGGCTTCAGATTTTAGCAGCTGTAGGACTTTGTGTTGTTTCCCGCTAGGACTGGATTTGCTAACGTTTGTTTAGGTTGTATTTACCCAGAATGCCCTGCGCTGCAGTCCACTTCCTGCTTTTGGAGCGGTCTCCAGTCTGCTTGGCGTTCACATGTGAATTCACAGCGAGGCAGAGTTCACTTCAACCGAACCCAGACTGAGGTTCACACCGCCCAAACGAACCGGACTCGGTTTGGATTGAACCGGATTAAACAGGACTGGTGTGAATGCAACTTTATGACAGAACCATTGAAGGACCTCACCACATATTCCCACCTTCGTATGAAATACTGCGCTCAAATCTGACTAAAGAAACCAAACAGTTGGGATTCAGAGGCCAGAGTATCTCACTGTTAAAAGGTGAGAAAACAACATAATATGAGAGTTTAACCCTAAAGCAAAGGCCACAAAAACACAAAGCAGGAAGCTGATTGGCACTGATTGGTAAGAGGCACCATAACTTAAATCATGTTTTTAGATTCATCTTCAGACCCTTCAGGGGGAGTCCCAGCCAGAAGGTTGTGGTCCACGCTCAGTTTCTGTCTTCATCATCAGTCTCATGAAAGCGAGAGCTGTCAGGTACAATCCCAGTCTGTACTGGTTTCCAGTGAGACGTTCTTCATGGCAGATGCCACGTTGATAGACTGAGAACTTTTCACTGAGACATTTGGGCTTTCTGTGATGTGGCATGCCGAGGTCCTCGTCAACCTCGCCACCACGCAGAGCTGGCTGCACGTGGCGAGGGAACGGAAGGATGGATGGTGCAAACAGGCTGCAGGAGTTTCCATTTACCAAACCCAAACATCAGCAGGCATATCTGTGACACCAAAGGGTCTGCCTGGGTGCCCTTCTCCCCTCATTCTCATTCCTCCCTCTGCTCCCCTCCCCTCCCATCATCTCCTTTTAATATAGAAGCTGGAGATGAAAAATGGAGCGCTTTTGTTTATTTGCCACCGATGCAAATGCGACCACAGCAGGATTAGTGAGTTCTCCATCTCTTTGCTGATAGCGGTGGGAAGAAAGAGGGGATTTTTATGCAAAAAAGATCTCTCCCACCCTTGCTATGACAATTGCAATGCATCACTTCATAGACAGTTTTTAATCTGTTTCAAACCAACCACACTTTGAACTGCTGGAAATGCGAGATATACAACTGTGGGTATCCGGCTGAGTGTGTGCACGCCCGTTGGTGTGTGTGTGCATGTGAGTGTGTGTGTGCTGTATGTGTTTTCCTGTGATTAATCTTTGGAGTTGGTTTAAGCACACTGCTGACACAGCACAGATCTCTCTCTCTCTCTCAGGCTAACTTTGACTTACAGACAAAATGTCCTTGGGTTTAGCTCTGAATAACAAAAACTTTCCATGCTAAGTCACAGTCATCCTGTTGACTCCAACTTTTCTTACTGCAAACTATTTTCAAAATCATTCATCTGAAACAAACAGGCCAAGGTGAATTTATCCACATGCAGCTCCTGAAAAAGGAGTTCACACTCCGTAAACTCTGCTAGATTTTTCAGATTGCCAACAAATTCTCTGATTTAGGTCAGGACTTTGACTAGACCAATCTAACATATGAATAACTCCAGTGCCATTATGCTGCAACTTTCAGATGCATCCCTGCTGAGTAAAAAGGCTCAATGACGTCGGTAGCATGTTAGCACCTTTTACAATCTGATTGAAGATGAGAACATGCAAAGTTTTCGTCTCGTTTCCATTTCCTGGTGTAAACTGTTGATAAACTGCAGGTTGGTGAATCTCCCCGGAACATGTGAACTTTTTTAGATTCCTCCATTTCTTTGGGATGAACAGGAGAATGAAATCATGGGTGTGTTTCCTTGGAAACTGATATATAAAAGCTGTTTACTTTCCTTTGCATGTTCCTTTGATTCCACCAAGTGTCAGATCAAAACCTGCAAACATCCGTCGTCTGACAGAAGAAAGGAGGAAACGCCGACATCCCAACAGCCATCAGAACATGCTTCCCTGTTGTTGTGGCTCAGGATTCCTCTCTGGCTATTATCAGAGGCTACGGCACAGAGTCATAAAAGAGGAAAACACGGGCCTGTTTATCTTCGCCGCTGCCATTGGCGTCGAAAGGAGAGCGCCTGCTTCTAGGTAGATACCAATAGGGACGACACAAAGGTGAGATAAACCGTTAAGACATTTTTTAACTCGTCAAATTTAATAACCCTCATCGGCAACACAGGTATTCAACGTGCTGCTTTCTGGGGAAAGGTAAACACATGGGTCTGGTAAGCTCCTGCAGAAATCCAAAACACAAAAAGTCAAACCAGAGGCTGACACACATTCTGAGCATGTCACCGCCACAATAAGATACACTCTGAATAATAGAATAAACAGATCCATTTTATTATCCCTTCACTCTGCCGCTGACACCTCAGCCAAACGATAAAACTTCCTTCCTGGCTCCACCTTCCCGTCATCCCCTCATCCTCTCAGGCTTACCTGGCCCGCCCGACTGACACCTAGCATTCGGAAACAGCGAGCAGGGATTTAATCAGTCGTCATTATGGAGGAGAAGAAAGAGGCTGCGGCACAATGCTGACACAAAGACAGTCTAAGGGGATCTTTGTGCTGTAAATGTGCTCCTCACAGCGGCTGCGTGACAGCTGACGTGGAGCCCATGAAACACTGATCCACTGTTTCCTTGTAGAGACATCAGGGTGAATACAGAGGTGCTGCAGCGTGCGCTGAAAGCGCCTCAAAGGCCTGAATGCTGCACAGCACCTGAACGGCTGCTGCGGCGGATTAGGGTGTCAACGCAGACAAAGGCTGAGGGAACTCAATGCCTTTTGATTCAGCCAGCAGCAGCATCCAACACGCTCTCTGACGTCCAACCACTCAACTTTATTATCACCGCAGCGGCTTAGACGAACAAACTCATGACAGGTTATTGAAAAATATTTATTTGCAATGAAATAAATAAACATTTTTCAGTTAGAGTTAATTTCCGACGGATTAATCCTGGGAAGGTGACACTTGTGGTTGTTTAGGAATAAATAAGTGGATTGAATTGAACCGATTGGTGACACCTGCCTCCGGTCTTCCTGCAGAGGAAGGAAAAATGAGGAATCTCTCCCATCCACTGCAACAGATGGACCCGGAAATCTGGGAACGCTGCTGAGTGTTCGGCGTGAGAAGTTGGCCGGACGGTAAAGGAGAGCCGCAGCCTGGCAGCGCCGCAGACAGCCGGGCCCTCCATCCAGCCCAGCTCCACCTCTCTGGCAGTCAGGCCTTCGCAGGCGTTGCCGACATGGCCGCGGCGTCTGGGAGCCGTCCTGAAGAAGTCCTGTGTCTGATCAGCAGCTGGACCGTTACGCCGTTTCACTGGCAGCCGCTTTGGTTGCAGCAACTGGCAGAAGTTGCTGTTACTGTGCTGGTCTGGCAACCAGCAACACACAACATGGAAATGTTGCTTTAAGACGTCCGTCTGTCTGTCTGGGTTTTACCCTGCAGGAAAGGCCAAAGAAG